TTGAAAAACATTCCTGAATTGTGAATCATCCATGCTCCCTTTAACTTCTGCACTGTGAATTTTGCATTTTCTAGTCTGGCTTTACTAAGACCAAATATTTGTTTGTGTTCTAGACTAACATGATCAGTTTTTACAACATAAGTCACAAGGTTATTTTCATTTAAATCACCTGCACCATATATACTACTGCCTTTAAATATTTTCTATCCAATAAAATCTAAAATCACAAGTTTAAAACACTCCATTCTTGAAAACTAGTCTAATGCTGGAATTTCACTATGTGCACTATAGACTTGGCTATGTACAGCTTATCTAGTCTCTACAGACAGCAAAACGATTACTACATTAACATATCTTGGACATGGGTAATAAGAAACGTGCCTTTAAAATTAGTTCTACACATGCATTTTTATTAGAACAATAAAATCCAGTTAGAGAGTCAGGATACTTTAATACTCAAGGCTGTTCTGTCTCTTCAAAGTCACTTTTGCCTTCCATTTTCCACATTACTCATGGATACAGTGCATTGATGATGTTGGATGGAGCCTACAATTACATATTTTTTAAAATTCTGCAAGTAGCATGGGTTTCTTATTTAAACCATATATCCTTGAACAAACTTTAAACAGCATCACATAATTTGCAAACCAATATCTTTCTTCCTTATAAAGCACTAATAACACTAAAAGTAGGTAACACTTTCAGAAGAACTTTAAAGTAAAACCCCCATGCAAATGGTAGTTGTTAGTTAAACACCAAGCAGGACTTCTATACAAGGGTATTTTATTTATATTACTTGGTTTCTCTCAATTTCTGGATTCAACCTAGATATAAAACTACAACTGTGATAGACCTAAAATGCAATACTGGTTTTTTTCCTCATGTATCAACATCACCTATTCGGGCCAATTTTCAGGATAAATAAGAGAGGACTGATATATCTTGGATAAGGAATGTCATTAGAATGGAAACCAAATTCAGAATCTTTGCTTGTTCTCCTGCAATGAGGGCATTAGTGCCCATTTTAATACCTGACACAAAAGCAATTCACCTATCTTGAAATGGTAAAAAGTAAATTGTTTTTTCCCCACAATTTTCTACTACAATCATTTAAAGTAATTCTATGTTAATTTAACTGGTTTTATACGCACTTCAGGAACACAAATTAGAAAACATCTAACATTTTTCTTCTAGGGATAGATAAATACACCTACACTACTCCAAGGGGATCGACAGTTAGTAATTCATACTTACAAAGTCAAACTTTCAAGAAATTAGGATAGGGAATATGAATCCTACTCTTTGCTCTCTCTGGAACATACTGTATCTGTTTATGTCAGGCAGGTCAACAGAGTTTCACAACATAAGGCCTCCTGACCAGATTTAGCCTAAAGTACCAGCCATACAGTTCATAGGAGTTTCCAGATTCCCAGGAGGGTCACAAGCTCTCCTATTCCATGTGACAAGATACATACTCATCACATGAATAAAATCATAAATACATCTCCAGCCATGTAACAAGAGTGTGCCTGAATATGCTTGTATACTCGCTCACACTGACATAAGGTCTTCCCAGGGTGGTGAGGGGATGTATGCCTGCCTGATACTTTTCTCTCCCATGATGGTCAACTCTCAACTGGCATCTGTAAAAACAAAATTCTGGCATTGTTGTTTCATGTCACAGACAACTGGGACCATGAGATCGGGAACATCTGCTGCTTTGGGTTTACCTTGAATAATTCATTAGTATGTAAATATCTCCATTAGGTATATATGAATTAGGTAGGTGGAAATGAGGCAGCTCCAGAAATGGAAACTACACTAACATGATAATCCACCTATGCTTGTTTATACTGCTCCGAGAATTTAGATATACACAGCTGTGTGGAGATACCCATACTATTATGCAGACATATCAACTGTATAATTTTCTCTGCAGGGTAAGAAAATTCTTGCAGAACAGGTAAAATTTTAAGGCTCCCCAGATGAGTGACAATTATAAGTAAAAAAAAAACCTCTTGTGAGAGAGCTTCTTCAATAAAGATATTGGCAAGAAAAGAGGGCACCACTTTCACAGCATTCCTTGAAGACTCCTTGATAAAAAACAACTGGCTTTTCAACTGACAGTAATGAACCAACATATACATATCTCATAAGAAATGTAATCAAATCAAGTTTCAGAAGACTAGCACCCTCTTTTCTGCTATTATTTGAAAGTCAGAACAAAGATGCAACAAGGAAACAGTGGCTTGCTCTGGAAAGTCTCCACAAGCTCCTTTCACATAGAAGTTTAAAATCCTGGAGAAAGTCACTAGATGTTTCTTTGAAGAGTGGTTCTAAAAATTATATTCTAATTGTTCCCTATGTGTTCTCTTTGCATGACTTAGATATATTAATTTAGTTTGATTCAACCCCCTTCAAATAACATCCACCACAGAAAAAAATAAATTAACATATTTTTTCATTTTTACCAAAAAAAAGTATCATTAGGTTGAATATTTGTCCTTCTATGCTACCACTATAATACATGTATTTTTATGCTAGACAACTGCTGTATGTTTATTTATCTTCATTTATATTATTTTCTGTAAAATGAGATTTAATATGTAACATCTAACCAGTGAGAAAAGGAGGCTCAGGAGAGATCTTATTACTCTACAACTACCTGAAAGGAGGTTGTAGCAAGGTGGGGGTCAGTCTCTGAAGTAACAAGTGATAGGATAGGAGGAAATGGCCTCAAGTTGTGCCAGGGGAGGTTTAGATTGAAATTAGGAAAAATTTCATCATAGTAAGGGTTGTCAAGCACTGTAACAGGGTACCTAGGAAAGGGGTTCAGTCACCATCCCGGGAGGCATTTAAAAGATGTGCAGATGTGGCATTTACAGACATGGTTTAGTGGTGGACTTGGCAGCACTGGGTTAATAGCTGGACTCGATGATTTTAAAGGTCTTTTTCAACTTAAAAGTTTCTGTGATTCTATTCCATGTTTTAAAGAAAACTTTCACAAACCAAACAAGATGCTTTATTTCTGAACAATACCACTCTAATTTTATGTTTTATGTTCATCTGTTTTCATACGGAACAAACAATTAACTATTGTACATCGACATTCGTAAGTTAAAATATAATATTTAAATACTTAATTTCTACCACATTAATCTCAAGGAATCTCTGATGTAGTCACAGAATAGTCATCAAATCTCAGTTGTAGCACAGTTATATTCATTAATCTCCTTTTCCACACAAAGAATTAGAGCAAGAACAAGCTTACACCCAACCAGACCAACTTTAACCGCATTGGTAGCATGACAACACTTCTAGAAATACCTTTTTTTCCCCCTCTTACGCGTCAGCATATACAGTACAGAGCAGATCTAATGAAGATCTTTCCATGTTTGACCACCTGAGTAAATGAACCAAGCCAGGGACCTAAGGATATGAAATAACCAATTCAACAGTGCCTGATAATTCTCTCAAAGGAATACAAAAATTTTGCACAGCGGCAGAAGGATGATTTTAGGTTCATCTAAACTTGTTAGGTTTCCATGAGAAGAACTAAAGGAGATGTTAAGATAAATTCTCAACTTTGTATTCATCAGAAGTAAAACAGGAGGATATAAACCACTTCATTATGTTAAGATTTCTAGCCTTGTGGTAAAAAGAACCTTAGCAAGGCGGTAAAAAAAGTATATATTCTTAAGATCAATTAGATGCTTAAAGTACAGAATGCTATGTCAGTGTAAAAATAATGTCAATGGTACTGCAAAATAAAAGATGTGCTTAAATGCAACACTTATTTGTCAGAAATCATCTGCTTTTTCTTTCATTTTTTTTCAGATTTTGATCTGTGAGAAACCACATCAGTATCAAATGTCACTTAGTTCTTATTCAAACAGAGCCGTCCAGACACAGCGGCTGCACCAGCTGACTTAGTTGACCTGGGCCTAGAGTAAAAACAAACCCCTATAAATCACCAGATGTAAGCAATTGAATAGTGATCAATTTAATTAACTGAACATCCTTCCAAAATTTACTGTATTGTTTTAACCCTTCAGGTTTCTTCAAGCAAGGTAACTTGCAATTTGTATTCAAGGACAGGATTTGGCCAGAGGGCTACATGTTGACAGCTTTAGACACTTTAGATTCTCATTGATAAAACGCAAATCACACACATGAAAAACACTTCTTTTCTTTTTTTTCTAATTAACAGTATGATAGTAACTATTTTTCTACAAATTCATATTGAAACTAGATCACGAAAAAAAAACCCAACTAATTTCAAGTGAAAACTTCAGGATTAAGATTTCCTTTAAAATCAACTTTTTTGGTTACAGGCCCTATATGCCTTTTGCAACTTTATACTCATATTACAAATGTTACTATGTCAACTGACCTACTCATTTCTTTCAAATAAACAATTAACTTGGACACAATTGCATGCCACAATTACATGTATTAACTGCAGCCATAAAAAAAACATGCCACACATTAGAATGGGCTCAGAAAGACATTTTCGAGACATTGGCAAAACATCTTCTAACCTAGATACTTGTCCTGAAGCTGTGTCTCGAGGGGATTTCCCTGTGTTGCCCACTGAAATTAATGGAATTCTACCATGATTTAACACACGAGGATCTCAGCCAAAATGCATAATGATAGAGTATAACTCTTGTTTTAAAGACTGCATTGTACAAGTTTGTATAACGATTACTGATGTTTGTACAGTGCCTAGTGCAACAGGACTGAGGCTTCTGGGCACTACCACAACATAAATTAATTCTAATGCAGTCTTTGTATCTGAGAGAAGCACAAAACCTTCCAGGATTAAGCCCAATTATACACATTTTAAACAACCTGCTAAATAATATGACATAATCAACTTGCTAACCGCATGCTGCTCTATTTCCAATTATTTCACTTTAATCTCTGTAATGCACGAATTTCCATGAACTCTGCAGAGTTAGTTCCACTAACCAGGGACAAGAGTAAGATCTACTTACAAAGACAGAAGAGTTATATTCGCAGAGACTTGTCCCAGATCTGGAATGATCTCCAGTTCATTGTAGTTCAGCTTCCTATTAATATTACAAAAGAGTTAGCTTTAATGTTAATCAAAAGTATGTACACTGAACTTGCTAAATTGCTGAACTGTGTCACCTCAAATTAAAAATAATTCCAGTTTCACTTAATGTAAAATATCAGAAGAGCAAACATCTTTGTTGTTTAACCAGCTATCCCTAGAGAAATAGCTATACAATTAGCATAAACAAATAGAGGTTAGGTATTTTTGGTTGGAGTTTTTTGGTTTGGTTTGGTTTTTAATTAAGACAAATTAACTTACACTTCCTGAAGACTATGAAGGTGATCCAAGAGACTGGTCTTGATTGAAGATAATTTGTTGTGACTTAAGTCCCTATGAGGTTACAAAAACAAACAGCCTGTCAGTTTTGCCATACAATATCGGGTAAAGCAATACTATTTCAATCCAAATAATGTTATCACTTGTCTACAAGTACGTAACAAGATATTTTTATATTAGTAAAATCAGAATAGAAACTCGTTTGAGTATACACGGCACAAGTAAGTGCAAATACCTCGATCATTGCCAGCAGTGTCAAAGAAATTTCTCTATCTCTGAACAATTTAGAACTGTTCACTGGAATGTGTGTAAGACCCATGAAAAACATCTTAAGATTCTGAGTCATATACACTGACAACCTCCCTCCTGCATCCCTTCACAACAAGAGGTCTGGCTAAAAAAACCTCTTTGTTGTTTAAACAAGGAAAATTCATAAACCAATAGTCATTGCAGCCTTATTCCTTCGGCTAATTATAACATTTGTACCATTTACTCTTCTCACTCCCTTCTTTACAGCAACAGACAGATCACAAATATATAATGAGGACTGTCCATAAATCTAAATTGTATTTTCATGCTTTCACACAATTCAGGACACCATTTCTACATAACCAAATTTAATGGAGATCTTCAGTAGAAAACAGACATAGGAAGAGTCAGTTCTGTTATGAGTTTCAAGATGTCTATATAATAGTGATATTATTACCACACTTAACTACACTTGAAGAAGCAGCGCAAGCACTTAGCTTGTGCCACTTTGTATTGAAGATTCCAAATATCTTTTGATGCAATTCATAAAAAAAAAATCTTGTTAGCACCTTTGCAGTGTGCTGCAAAACAAGCCAGGTACTAAAAATGCAACGCATTTTGTTTACCACTGTCAAGAAATGCTTTTCCTTACATTATCATGCATATTTGCCATATGTGCTCTCAAACATTTGACACCACACAATAGAGACTTAAGAAATTTTTACTCAGAAGTACTGGAAATATCAAAGAAATATGAGGGATCACACAGTAAAACACAGAGCCAACTACAGAACAAACTTGCACATCTATAAACACCTGCACAAGCAGTACAGTCTCACAACTGATCTAACCAAGACCAGCTCTGTTGAAGGTCTCCCCCTTCTCAGTCACTCATCCACCAAAACATGCACTTCCCTGCCCCCTTACTACACTGTCACTACCTCATCTTCATCACTCCAGCCCTCTGCAAGCATTTCTTGCATGTAAAAACACTGCATTTATCCAAGCCAGCAAACAAAAACTACATTATTTTTAAGGAATTCTCAAACTCACTCCAGTGAGCGTTGTAATGCAGGCATATAAAGAAATGAATCAGCACACCTCAGCAGTGAACGGGTAAAAGGTGCTTTAAAAAGCAGCCTTTTGAAAAAGAAGTTTCTCACATTTCATGACACTTTTCTCTGTGCTAATTAAGCACTCAACAGTCATCCAACATGCCTGGGGTTCTCATCAAGCCACACAGGCATGAAGTGTACTTCAAGTTGAATCTATGAGTAAACTACAGGATTCCTTACTTTTTCCAGGCAAGATGACTCAGTACAGTCATCCGTACTGAGCATGCCAAACACAGGCCTGACTGCCATGGATGTGTCTACTCTCCCTCTACAGTTCTGGAAGTGAAGAAACCTGATGAACAGCATATACTTGATGCACACAGACCAAAACTAGCTTAAATTAAGCCAAGTTCAATGTCTCTGCTAGGTGTTCTGCTCTGTGACTAAGTCCCACATGACTGCAGACCCAGAAAACTCATTTCTCTGCACCCACCATTGCATACCCTGAAACACAGCTATAACGCTGCAACCCAGCCAGGCACGTACATTTCTTCAACAGCACATGCGGATAGTAAAACTGTGTTTTAGTCTCCCCCAGTTGATTTGTTCAACATTGCCAAGATAGATTTGTCACTTTTGTCCTCTCCTGCAGTTGGTGGTTAAAAAAACAGTAGTAATAAAACTCAAATATAAAAAATAATCCCAGGCACGTATGGGTATTACGAGTGTACCACCAATACTCAGTTACGAGGTGTGCTCTGAGCCAGCCAACTGCACCAGGCCTAGTGGGCTGCTGAGCTGTGGCACCAGCAACTGGCTCAGGGCCATGGGCAGAGACAAAAAACATGCTGCATTTCCCAAAGCAGGGCTGCACAGGAGTGTGCATAGGGCAGACCCGCAGGTGCAAACAGCATTTTCCTGCACAAAAAAATGAGGCTGAAGGCTGGAGGAGAGCCACCTAGAGAAAGAGAACATCCTCCACCACCTTCAGGTGGCCACAGAGGGGATGTTTTCAAAGACTCAGCTCTGAACTCAAGCACCTAATATAAATGTGCCTTCTTCCAGGTGTCTAAATCCCTAAAGATTTTCCTCTTAAGGATGGAAAACCAATACAGTGTCAACATTTCCTAAAACCCACAAATGTTAACTTCACCATTATGATTTTGAGTTCTCCTGTAAATTAGGTTAACCACACTTAAGCTAGAGGACTGCATCTTTCACTGCTTAACAATCTAGTGTAAACATTCTCCTAGCCACAGAATGAAGAAAAAATCCCTTTGTTTAACATCTGAAAGCATTAACTGCACAGGTTTGAAATTCTCATACTGCATTTTTAAGTGTAAATACTGAAAAAATATGCTGTTACAAAGATCTATATGGGAGTCTAACTTGGTCCTTTAAAGCAGAGTAGAGACAAATTTTACCCTTAAACTTAATTCAATATTTGGCTTTAATCTGTAGGGATTATAAGAACTATGCGAATAAACAGATGAAATTCAGTTAAGTTATGGCTGTTAGTGCCCAATATGTTACTGTTCTTCGTGCTTCAGACAAGACTTAAGAATCAGTAATTATTTCAACAAAGACCTTTCAGCATTAGTGCTAAAAACCTGCATTTCTTCATTTCATCTAAAAACCCTGCAAAAGGTTTATTTAAAGCATGTTTGCCTAAAGGACCTACCAGACAGTAACAGACATGAGTAGATTTGTTCTGCTGGAGTTATAACATGTTAAAAAAAAAAAAAAATCTGGCAGAGTCCTTAAACTATAAAAATCCTGCAATTACAACCACTGCTGTGCATGATCACCACACTGGAGCCAGACACTTTCACTCATAGCTCAAGCTCACATCCATCTGGAGTCTATCAAGGAGTGTAACTTACACTAAGTTTCAAACTACTTTTTTTGTGTTTGTTTTTTTAACACTAAAGATACATTCACATTTTCCAAGTAGCATCTACTTTAAAAAAATACATACATACAAATTCTTCATGCCTGGTTTACTTACAGCAGGTTGTCAAATACAAGTTGCAAAAAAAAACCAAACCTGAAGCAAAAGAACAACAAAAAACCACCAGCCCTCCAGACAATATTGAACTGCCTGTTTCATAAAGCTGTATACATGCTTGTCCACCCATAGTTGGATAGAATATGAATTATCAATATTTTATTAAACATTATTTTAGTACTACTGGCATGAGAAACTTCAGGAAAAGAAAAAGCTTTGTGAGTCACATTTTAAGTTAAATCAGAGAGGCTGGAAGTGAACCAAGAGTTAAAATATTTGCCTTTTACTAACATTCTAAGTGAAGCTTAAGCCTGCAGAAGTTTCTCAAACTTATAAGCACTGGGCTGGAGACATTTTTTAAATATAAAAATCTATCATCTCTGTTGCAAAGCTACAAGTACATTTCAGTTCAATGCATTTCTCAACATATCTTAAAACAAGTAGGAAGAAAAGGTTGGAAAATTAAGCAGTATTTTTCCTTCATAGAAATGGAACTGACAATGTTAAAACCCTATTACTGTGTGTTTTTTCCATTTCTGAATTTTCCTTGTCTGTTAAAATCACATTACAAGTGGGGAGAAAATTTCCTTTGTGATTACTTTTGCTACTAGAATTTCAGAAGTCATTAAAGATATAAAAAATGCACTCTGAAACTTTAGAAACCAGATTTATATTAAGAAATTATTTATAAAAATAATAAGCATATATACCCGTACTTCACTTCAGAGTTCTAATAAAAGTGATTGGACATTTAAGTAGAATTGCCCCAACTGAAAAAGCATGCCACAGTTTTGGAGGCCCTTTAAGAACCTGTTCTATGAAAGAAACTATTTTCTATGTTCCACTATGTTTGTATGACTATCTTTCGTAAGTCACAAGTCTCAACATTAGCTGAAATGTAACTCTGAACCACATTTGTTTGATCAAAAACTGAAAGGAAGGCCTAACGCAAAGAGGGAGAGAGAGAGCCAGTGCTTCTTCACACATTTTAGAGATATAACTTTTAGACTCTAACTTAATATAAAACACTTAGTCACAATTATCATCTTCCTTAGAGAACTCAGAAACCTGAGCCCCAAGTCAAATTTTAAAATGCAAATCCAGCAACAGCTCCTTAATCAGTCCCACTGGGGCCTATAGAGCTGCTAATTCAGCAGAAATCAGCAGAGCTGAAAAACAAAAAGCCAGGCTGTAGCTGTTTTAAGACACTGATCCAAAGTGACTCATAAATCAGCCTGCTATGTTCAAGTTTTAGTCTGGAAAATACTGAAAAACAGCTGTGAAAACCATACGGCCTTTTTTCTGGCAGTTCTGGTAGACCACTAGAGGATTTATAAAATATAAATACTAAAAATGTAATATAAACACAAGTGAAAACCATCTTTCAGACTTTCCCTCCTATCCCACCAACAGTTTCAGCATTCCTCAGTGAACCTGGTGAAGGGTACAGCAGTGCCAGCAGGAGTTTGCACACCTGGGAGACACTGGCCAACGCTCAACACTCTTCCTCCACTCCATCCCTCCTCTTCCAGCTCTGCTACACCAGTTCTAATAAAGCCACATTCTTACAATCTTGGGACACACATCCTGGAATTAAGTGGAAATCTAAATTCAAAACTATTTGTACACAAAGCCATTAAAAATGTTTATGAGTTTTCAGCAGACTGTTATCTCCCACAAAAGCAGGGTAACAGAATATGGTATTTTTGGTTAAAATCACAGTAAAGTTGGCTTGTTTACACCCCACTCTATGAAGCCAGTTCTGTACAAAGCAGTAGACTCATACTTATGATCAAAAAGAAGAGGACAGAACTCAGGGTCTATTTTTTTTATTTCCCTCCTTGCCCACTGTGAGGTCATTTTTATTTTATTTCAACAAGGGGATTTGAACACAAAAGGCATGAAAGAATGAAACAAGAGTTTCAAAAACCTGCTAACCATCTGGGCAAGATGGTTAAGACAGATGGGCAAAGGAAGGTGTAAAGCATAACACAGGTCTAGATCTTCTCAGGCAGAAAAGCTTTCACTCTGCTGCTTGGGAGACCTCACCTGCGTATGCTGAGAACACAGAGTAATAGTTGTTTTCTCAAGAGGACTGGAAAGCCTGCAATTAAACTACTAGCCTTTGGCTATACCCACTATGGACTTCCGTGGAAAACACAGTAAACATATAGCAATAAAATTCATAAACAGTCTTTTACAATTTGTAATGTTGCAACAATAATCTAGACTAGTCAAACCTTTTTTGCGTATGTAAAGATGGACACGTTAACCTTACAGATTGCACAATCCCAGCTCCAAGTACTGGGGTAGCTGGAGGTAAGAGGCAACACTACACTCTTCCGTGTTCTCTTATTAAGAGGGGAAGGAAGAAAGCTGGATACTTCTAAGGCATTTGACACAATCAAAAGAAATATTTACACAAAAGCGGTCGGACCACATGGTTTGGTGACACCTAAAAGATGTACTCCTGTGAGTTTAAAAGCAAGTGACACAGCTGTCCACTGAGTAATCACAGCAGGGTTTCTTACAGCAGGGTTTCTTACAACAGGCCAAAGCTTATTTATACAAGCAGAACTTATTTTCTCACACTTTTAAAGGAATGTGAACTTACATAAGGACAATTTACACTACCAAGGGAATTCTAATTAGAAAAATCTCCCTTGTGCTAACAAAAAAGCCCTGCAATGGTATTATTGTCTCTCAGGAACATAAGTGGAAAAGACAAATTTGAATTACTGCTAACGCAAAATGTTTTTTAAGGTAAGTCTAAAAAACAAAAGTGTTGTTATTTTTCTCCTTGTTTTTTTTGTTTACCACACGTGGATTTTAACTTAATAGCACTAAAGTAAACTAAGCTAAGAAACTAAACTATGAAGCTTAGCTTAGTATCAAAAAAAGCCTTAGGTTTTGTCAGAAAACTTGCGACAAACTATCCTGAAATAGTTCAAAAGAACAGGAGGATGAAATATAACAGGAAGCAAAACCAGTTGTTGAATGTTAAGCAGATCCAGTGTTTGATCCATAAGCTTCAATCACATAAGCCAACAAAAAAAAAGTTTCTTTCCTCTCACACTTTCCTACGCCAGTCCTGGAAATATTCAACTCCCAGAGCCATGTCTGTGTTCAGTTCCATATGGTGTCAATACAGCCATCCACATTTCATGAGCAAAGCAGCATGACCTCCAGACAAGGCAATTGAACAGAATTAGCCACAACTAATTGAAAGTCTTCCTGTTTACTTTAAAGCCCTTATCTCAATCTGCTTTGAAAACGTAATCGAAAATTAATACGACTAATATAGAAGATCATTCAGCGACAAGGGATTAAAAACAAATGTGACAAGTCCCTCAGCTATTTTCAGGCTTTTAGAAAGCTGACATAATTTATGCTTTTTCCATAAAAGTTTTTCACTGGAAATAGATTTCTGCAGCTGTCACCTGGCCGAGCGGACTCCGGTGCGCGCACCATCGCCAGAGCCAAAACTACAGGGGCGAAGAGCAACACGAGGAAACGCGATAGCAGCCTTCCCGACACACAAATCCGTGTTAGCCTGATGATTACTGAACGCTTTCCAAGAAAGTCAACAGAACTTTTTCCTCGCTCTCTCCGACACTGAACAGCGCTCCCGGGCCCCATTTCGCCCAGGCGCTTATCGCCACCGCGTCCCGGGACCGCAGCCCGCCCCAGGGACGCTGTCCTGCTGCGGCCGCCGCCGCCCTCGCCGCGCCCGTTGACAGCCCGGCCGCGGCCCCCGGCGCTGCCCCTCCCGCACCTCGCGGCCGCCACGACACCGCGCTGCCTCTCAAAGCCCACCCGCGGACGGGACCGCGGCCCCGGGGGCAGAATATGGCGGTCGGGCGGGCGCGGGCCGGCGCCTTCAGCCCCCCGCGGTGCCCGCCGCCCCGATACTCACAGCTGCACCGCCCCCCGGGGCAGCCGCTCGGGCAGCCGGCTCAGCTCCAGGCGGCTGCATGCGACGAGGTGCCCGGCGCAGCGGCAGGGTGCGGGGCAGCGGGCGGAGGCGGCGCCGCCGCCCAGCAGCAGCAGCACCAACAGCAGCGCCGGGAGAGCGGCGGGCGCCCCGCGGGGCCGACAGGGCATGGCGGGCTCGGAGCCGCTGCCCGCGCTCCCGTCCCTGGCGTTCCCCCACTGACAGAGCGGAGCGGGGCGCGGCGCGACCTCCTGCTTCTCAGTGCGGGTGGCTGCTCCCGCTCATCCCCCGGAGTGGCCACCGAGGGCGGGAGGCGGTGGGAGCGGGGGGCGGTGTAGAAAAAAGTAAAGACAGAAAGCGGGAGGGGACCGCAGCGCCGCCACCGCCGCCAGCCACTCCGCAAACTTTCCGCCGCCTCAGCCCGCCTCCGCGCGTCCGGGGGAGCCCCGAGCGCCGCCCGCCCCGCCGCAGCCCCCTCCCCCTGCCATGTGACAGCCGCAGCCCCTGCCCGCTCCTCCGCCGCCGGGCCCCGCGGGGCGGGGGCTGGGAGAGCGGGTGCCAGGCCTGGGCTGGCGTGGCGCCCCGCCGCTTCGCGGCCGTGGCAGCGGCACTCCCGGCCTCCCGGCCTGCCCCGGACGGCGGCACATGGCCGGCCTCGCATCACGGCGGGCGCTACGGTGGGACCTTGCTGCTGTCCCCGGCCTGTCCGTGGGCGGGCGGGAGCGGGCAGTGGGCCCTGAGTACTTAGAGCGACAGCCACGGCGCACGGGCCGTGGTGAGAAGGCACGGGCACCGTGGTCTTCCTCGTGCGGGATTTCCCTTTGCCGTCGCGCCAGTTAGCGCATGTCGTGGTAATCCAAAAGCTGCTCCAGAGGCCCCAGAGGGTTCCCAGCCAAGCCTGGGGTCACTGGCATGTAAAAGGTGAGGTGAGGTGAGGTTAACTCCTGCCTTCCGGGTCCTACATGGCTAGTCCAGACACCATAATTAACCCCATTACGTTCCCCACAGGATCCCAGCTCCAAAGGTTCAGGGGAGTGGGCAGGGCATACAGATTCCACATCTCTGAGGTAATCTATGTAATTTAAGTAAATACCTATTGTTCAAGTTCCATATGTAAGGCCGGACCCTACAATGGATTCAATTACTGTAGGCTTCACACACCCCTATTCCGTAGCAGCAGCCATCAAACTGCTCACAGACACTGGTCTTTCCTTCCCAGATTTGTATGTTTCACCTGAAAGATTGTAGACATCTTGCACACTGTGAACCTGAACCCTTCAAAGTCTTACAGCTCCGATAGCAAGATCTGTAAGGCTGAAACTTTGTCCCTGTTTTTATTGTTTCCATGCATATCTAAGGACACAGGGATTTTGTTAAAGAAACAAAACTACATTTCAGTCAGGAATCATGAATTTGCAAGCCAAGCAAGCATGTCCTGAGTAACTATGAACATTCACATGCCACTCTTGATATAACTGTTCTGGGTGCATAGGGTGTGCATAGCTGTGCGGTGTTTTGTCAGCTTGTGCTCCGTTGACCACTGGTGTTCCTTAAGGAAATTATTGTGGGAAAACAAACAAATAGTGAAGGAGCACACTTTTTTCCTACACTTTTTTCTTTTTGCTATAAAAGCAAGCAAGTAAAGAAACAAAATACAGGATAGAAATTAATTAGTATGTCTTTACAAGTTCCTCTCATTTGTTTGTTGTGAATGAAAACTGTCCTGGCATCATTTACATGTCAATATTTCGATGTCTTTTACAGCCTTCTTCCTTTGGAAAATATTAGGGTGACATTAGATCAACAAAGCCTGTGAAACACTGAATTATTCTAAGCAGACAGTAGGACAGTGGCAAATTCAGATTTTTGAAGCTATCCCTCATTAGTCTGTACTTGTTCCCATCAAAGTCAATGGGAAAGCTTCCTTCTTTTTCTGAAGTTCTAGCTGTCCAGGTGTTTCACACTGTTACACCAAAGTACAGAGACACTTGAATATGTTTTGTTCATATTTAAGTAAGATATGCCATACTTACCACTTTTGCAAAGTGATCAAAAATTCAAGAGGAAGATCTTCATGTTTATGTTGCTCTGGGTGATTATTGAACAATCTACTAAAATTAAAATGGATTTGAGGTAACTAAGCCTTGTACTATGGTTCCTAGAGTGCACAGCAAAGGGCCTCAGTTATCTGGGGAAAGTGAGCTTGTCTTATCTTGAGTTTGGCAAGGGCAGCGATTGACTGGTAGGTGGCAACAGAGTCTTTAAGCTGCCAGTTTTAACATCCAAGGAAAAGAAAAATTAGAAACAAAGTATTTTGAACTTATTTTATCATAGCAGTCAATAATATATGCAGTGCATATGTGAACCACGAAACAAGAGAATCTGAGAAACAAAGGTAGGAAAAAAAAGATGAAAAGGGCAGGAACTTCTGGTTTTGTAATTTTGAAAACCACTCATGCAGGCAGGAAATACTGTGCCTTAGAAAAACCTAATGCATATTTAGTGCTAGTAATATATGAAGCTGTTTTAAATTAGGCAAGGTAAATAAATTCAGAAAATCCATTTGTCTTCTTTTCTCAAAATACTCAATAAAACATTTTTAAATTGATTATGTATTATGAATCCTAAAATGCTTATATGCTGCACTTCAGAGTCCATGACAGAAAGTCTTTCTTCCCACAGGGAAATTTGTTCTCTTCAGAAGTCTCAGGGACTGATTCTCATATGAACACTGTAAGGGCTGGCAGCCCCCAATCCCAGGGGTCTCTTTATCATTGGTTTTAGGTTGAGAGTGCACTGTGACTGTACATAAGCAAATACAAATCCCTCCTTCACAGGTTTGGCTAGCTATAACCGGCCTTAGTAAACTTATATCTAAATAAAAGGTCTCCCATTCCTCTACCTGGTTATCTCCACACGTAGCAAGGGTTGTCTGCCGACCCTTGTTTGGCATTAACATTAGTGTAAATGCACATTCAACAGTTTTAGGGGACTGATTTGACTGAACTCCCTTAAAAAATAAAACCACTGTACACACACACACACACACACACACACACACACACTTTAATTCTGAGTTGGAGTAATTTCCTCATCCTCCAGTTTTCCATGTAGCTCACAAGGAAGGCGGTTATGCAAAGACAGGCCCTTTCCATGGCAGCCTGAAGGGATGATGTTGAGGAGGGGGAAGCATGGCTGCGCAGAAAAATTCTTGTAAAACTAGACCCTCAAGCTCTCTCTTTGGCTAACGAGATTAATTTCCTCCACAAGATTACCAAGCATAGTAGTCTGGGTGAGTTGGGAAAGGAGAAAAGGAGGTTGTGTAGAGATCTGTAGACCATTCTTTGGGATGTTAGGGCTTGATTCTAATGGTGTCATTTTCAGTCTCTGATTATTTTAAATCAGATAAACACAGGTTTATGGATTCAAGTCCAAACATATGCTGTTTAAAATATGTATTCACTTCAGGCGAAAGACACACCCAGAAGCAATCTAAGTATGATTTTTTTGCATATCATTAACGCACTGAAATCAGGGACTGCTTTCAAGTAACCTACCTCCAGAAAAGTTCAACCCTAAATCAGACTCGGTTTAGCAGATTATTAAAAATAATTTACCAATTGCTAAGTTAAGCAAAACCAAATTAAGATACTATACATTTTCTGAGTTTAAATTAGAATATCTTTTATAACACAACTAAGAATTTGATTAATCTAAATGCAGTTTTTTATTCAGTTTTTAAAGGAGTCTCAAGCCACTACATCAGACAATTATATATAGCTGTAGGTACGTATAGGTAAATCTGCGGGATTTATGTCAGAAGGTCAAAAGGAGTGAACAGTTACATTTACTAAATGATTTTCTCCATTAAGGCCACTTCAGGAATTAAGTCTTCCCTTGTACTCCTGGATCATGTCGTAATCCAATTCTATGTCTAGTATTCATTTTGGATTTTCTATTTCTCATGGGTAAATAAAGTGGTTTTGCTGGTATTCAGCAGCAAAAAGCAGAAGCAAAGGAGAACGACATTGCTTATACTCTGACACATCTCGGTTCTGGTAGAGTGATGTAGAAAATAGTGGCCCATTTATTGACTTTCCTACCAGTAAATGATCTTGTAGGAGTATTGGCAGAATTAACGTCCTGTCTATTTATTTCTAAACTTTCACAGTTCCATTTTATTTCTAGTCAAAGAATATGTTTAAGGCTGTCTGGGAGAAGGAAATGAAGAGGTCATCCTCTCAAGATCATCACTTCCTGTTGCAAGTTCTCCAATATAGTCCAGTAAAAAAAAATCTTAATGCTAGCAAAACTTCTTACTAAAGCCACAGCTGGAGGGAGAGATGAACTAGTGAGACCCATCCTGCTTAAAAAACAAAAGTAGAGCACGACATGCTTTTTGTGGAGGCTGCTTGCATACATTAAATAACCTGCAATAGGCAAAAGGAAGTTTTGCCTCAGGCACCTGTCTGGAAGTTACTAGAGAGTCCCACAAAAACTCCTTATTGGATGCAGGAGACCCTTTTCACTTCTTTGCTTTGTGTGTAAAGAACAATCTCATCCAATATCATGGAATATTTTTCATGGAAATTAATCTAAATGCAGAGCTTTCCCACCCTCCTTTTCTTCTGCCCATTTGGTATGGCAATTGATAGTAATTTTAATTTTAATTTATAATAGCACTAAGACCATGACCATTTATTTCAATCCCTGTGATTAACAATTGCAATTTCACTTTGAGGAAAACAATAAAATATTCTTAAATAATTTCCCAGTAATTGTGAATCTTCTACCAGTGTGTCATAAGTCCATAGTGAATATACCAAGGTGCATACAGAAATTTATTTTTGGTAGTAATTATACTTGACTTTATGTGATCCAACAGTGAAACCATGAAAACCAAATTATGCATAATTGAATGCACTGATTACAAACAGAAAAACCATATGAACTCTTTCTGAAAACTTTGCCTAGGGCAGAATATGTTCAGCTTTTATAGAATTCATCCAAACAGTGAGTGTTTGCCTCCATTACAAATAAACCTAAAACATCCTAAGGCAGTCCACATTAGTGAAGATTGTTAATGTTTTCAAGTCATGTCCTGCGTGGGGCTAAGTGGGAAGTTAGTGCATGATTGCAAGGACAATTAAACAGTCAACATCTACAATGATGTAACTTCAAAGAGGGAAAAAGAAGACTTAGTTTTATGTCATTAAGGAACACTCAAATTGAAATGTTGTCAATTTGAATAAAAATAAATAGATGTAATGTCAGGATGGTGCTACTATAATAAAACACCTGCCAGGTCTGTTCTACCCGTTCTTTTAGTTTGTTGGGGGGTTTTAAATAAGCAAATGTTTTGTGGTAAGAAAGATCAAGAAGCAGCCAAA